ACACAAGTCAGACACCATGTAAACTACTGGATGGACGTAGCTCATGGGCTGAATGTGAGGTCACATGACCTTCCTCTGGAGAATATCACATCTTTGTGAAGCTAAGTTTTTGGAGGCTATTGTAATAAAAAGCAAACGCTATGTGAAAATTGACGAGGAACAAAAAATGAAGGTGGTGATGTCCAATCTGATTTCAAAGATTGAGAAAGTATGTGGTACCCAACAGACATACACATCCCATTAATAAGTAATTATGGTTATTAACAATAAAACGTGTTATTTCTTCTTTAAATTCTATTGCTTCTTGTAATAGCTACTAAATTAAGACATTAATATCTATTAATATGTTTGTACCTAACTAATAGAACTGTGAGATATTTCTTTTAGCCTAAACCACAAAAAAAAAAAAAAAAACCTGAGCCACCGAGGGTGTCACGAACTGAGAAAGATCAAGAACCTTGGCCTAAACCATTTTCATTTTTTAAAAAATTATTTTTATTTATTATTTTATTTATTTATTTTTAAAATGCCTACAGCCCCCGATATTCCTAGGCAGTCTCCCATCTAAGTAGTAACCAGGCCCGACCCTGCTTAGCTTCCGAGATCAGACGAGATCGGGCACATTCAGGGTGGCATGGCCGTCCGTAGACCTAAACCGTTTTCAGAGGCCTCTGCTTGCCCCCAAATCCTGACTCACTTGCTAGCAAGCTAAATATATTCAACTGAATTCAAAGCTTCTTCCTCTTTAAGACAGTACTATCTTGGCCTCTTACTCTATCTCTTCCCCGGAGAAGCAATTAGCTGAAAGGGGCAGTTCTTCTCCAAGACACCAGCTCCTCTCCTTTCCCCATCGTACTGAAAATGCAAACGTGTCACTACCATTAAGGTTTCAATATTTACACCCTTAACCCAGTATCGCCACCTTTAGAGATCTAGCCGGCCACGGTGAGAGTGTGTGAGGACACTCCCTGCAGCACCGTTTGCAACTGCGAATGCTGGCAACAACCCAGCGTCTGCCAGCAGGAACTAGCTCAGTCCACAGCGGTATTTACATGTGCTGGCATTCCACGTACCTCTGTGGAATAATGAGGTGACAAAGAAAGAGGCCCAGGGCTTACGTTAAGTTGAAAAAAGTGAGGGAAAAACAGGGTTTCTGGTATGATAACACTGAATAAATGATAATACATGTGTTAGTACGTGCAGGAAGAAAATTCCGAGGAAGGACACACATAAAGCTGCTCACTGCTAGTAAGGCAAACCAAATATTTTCTGTGGGGGAGTCATGGGCAGGGGCAGTTTCGAGGGAACCATCTTTCTGATCCTCAGCTGCCACACACACGCCTTCCACAAATGGCCTAATTCCCTTTAAAGGACAGCTGCGTTTTAGCAATAAGGGACAATGGAAACTCCAGTGGGATTTTTGGGATGACAAGATGATCCCAAAATTTACATGGGAAGGTAAAGAGCAAACACTAGTCACTAAAGCCAGAAGACTGACACTTTCGGATGTCAAGACACATTAGAAGACTTGGCCATCAGGGGTGTGTGGTGTGAGTGCACTGGAGCAGACTAGTGTGTCCAGGAACAGGTTGATGACACACGGACATTCGAATTACTAAAAAGGTGCCTCAGTGCAGTGGGGAAAGGACAGTCATTTTAATAACAGATTCTGGGGCAAGGACACATCCATATGGAAAAAAAGTACCTTTTGCACCCCTACCTCCAACTCACATAAAATCAGGTCTGGGTGGATTATGGACTCATGTGTGAAAAGTGACAAATAAAGCATCTAGCAGTTAACAGGAGAATATCATCAGGACTTTGGGGTAGGGGCAAAGATTTATTAAACAGGACATACAATGTCTAACTGTAAAAGAAAAGACAAATAATCTGGAATTCATTAACATTAAGAGCTTGTGCTCATCAATCCACACCATTAAGGGAGAGGATAGGTAAGCCATAGAGTGAGAGAAGACCTGCAAAGCACATTTTCAGCAAAAATTACAGCCAGATTATAAAGAACTCCTTGGATCCATAAACAGACACCCCAAATAAAGAATAAGCAAAATACTTGACGAGGGTTTTCACAAAAGAGACCACCACCCAAATAGCCAACAAACTATCCAAATGGCCAATGAAAAGGTGCTTTACATCATTAATCACCTAGGAGATTCAAATAAAACCACAATGAGATACCACCAAAAAGACTTAAAAAATCAAAATTGACGAGATCATGTGTTTGGTAAGGACACGGACCAAACTCATGGCATGGAAGTTGGTACAATCACTTTGGAAAACTGTCAAGCGGCGTCTATTAAAGCTGAGCCTCTGGCCCAGCAAAACTATCCCTAGGAACACAGTCACATGTTCACCGAGGGATGAACAGGGACATTCACAGTGGCACTATTCATGATAACCAAAAATAGGAAGCAACTCGAAAGTCCACCTACAAGAGTCTAGTCACACAGTGGAATATACAAAGCAACGAGAATGGACAAATCTATGACCACACACAACAACATGAACGGATCTTACACATGACGCCAAGTGGGAGCAGCCAGGCATGTAGAGAACACACTGCACGACTCCTTCTACAAAGCTTCAGCAGAGGCAAAGCAGCTGAGGTGATCAGGCCCGGTTACTCCGGCCAGAGGGCCCGGGGGGAGGGGCAGTTTGCTGACTGCAAGGGGCGCGGCTCAAGAGAGACTTCTGGGGTCTTGGTTGCGCTCTTGTTTCTTGATCTGTCTGCTGGTTGTGTACTTTCCTACATGCACACTGTACTTCAATAAAAAGTTTACAGGAACAATAAATAACAGGCAGATTAAGCTATAGTGTCAGAATTTAGAATAATGGTTGCCTTCATGTGTGGGCAGGGTGAGTGGGGGAGGCGTGTGAGAGGCTTCTGGGGGTGACGGGAATGCTTTACTTCTTGATCTGGCTGGTTACTACACATGGGTGAGTTCACTTTGTGAAAATTCAAGCTGTAAATGTGTGCATTTTTCTGTATGTACATGGTATTTACATAAAATTAATGTCTTCGAAATAATTTCTGGGGACAGAGAAGCTACAAGTGTGACAACATCGGCCCAGAGTACTGAGACAAAAAAAAGGAACAGGGAGCAGCCTGGCCAATGGCGCCTGCTCTCAGCCTAGATGTGCCTAGCTCCAAGAGCACCCCCCAACTCGCCCGAGCACAGGGTCGGAAGCCCAGTGTGCTCTCCAGGCAGCAAGATTAGCGCCCCCCATCTGACCATCCTGAAGGCCTGGTCCTGGCCTGGACTGCCTGCCAGGCTGTCTGCTCCCTGAGGACAGGGCAAATGCCTCCTCTCTGCTGCACGTCCACCCAAGAAGTGCCTGGCTCGGCACGGGGACTCAGTAACATCTGCTGAACGAGCTTCTTGTCTAGGGTCACGGAAACAAAGTTGAGACATGGAAAGCACACTTGACTTTCCCACGCTCTCTGTCACCCCGACTATCGTGACGCACTTTACGAAATATCAGTGTCACCATAAGGGATGTTCTTGTTTGCTCTCAGCTCATCAGTGCCACTATGAGATATGGAAACAAACAGATGTGATCATTCTGTTTTGAATACAGCTGATGTATTCAGCAGCCTACTGGAAGTGGGCACTGAATAAAATGCCCGTTTCTGCTGCAGTAAAAGAAAGCCTAAGGACAGCAGACGCTGGGAACTAGCTGATAACAGGGCCTGTGAACTAGCCAACTGTGAATTCCTGAGGCGCCTGATAACCACGGTCCCCGCCCCCCCCAGGTCTGACCTGGGCTCCTTGCAGAAGTGAACGGTCTTCCATTTCTGGATCCACAGCACCGTGATCAACACAAAGGACCCAAAAGATACCTTTTGAGCGAATAAAAGAACCAGGAAACACAACACAGCCAAAAGATTGCAAGAATTTTTACGATCACTTGAAGAGCAAGAGTCCATACTAATGCCCAAACATGAGTTGCTCCGTTATCACCAAATCCATTTTCTTACCTCAAGGGACCAAAATGTCCTGCTTACGCAGGGCCACGAGGGGGATCTTTTGGTGTGTTCTGTCACTGCCACAGGTACTTGCAGAATGACCTGCTGAATGACCGTCTACCCCTCCAGGTGGCCGGCACCGGGGGCAGGGCCCACACCTGTCTTAGCTCCTGGCTGGGGAAGCCGCTGGCAAAGGCTGGCGGAAGGGACTGCAGGTACTCACCGCCAGGAAGCCCAGCTTGCCGCCGCACCGGGTCTTGAGCCCCATGGCAGCAGTCAGGTGGATCTCCACCAGCGTGCTCGGCGGGATTTTCTCCTCTGCACGTTCGGCCAGGTTCACAGCGCACAAGGCCATGTGGACATCTGAACAGGCGGACCCCGCAGGGAGCTTCCCTGTGGCGGCAGAAACAGACACCAGTGTTGACAGATCCCCCAAACCAGGCCTTTTCCTGCCTTCCCTAGCACACAGCAGCAGCCGCACTGAAGGAGAAAGTGCGTGAGCTCTGCGATCAGACAGTCCTGGACGGGTGCCGGGCTCTGCAACTTAGCACCTGTGTGTTGCTTTCCACCTCACAGGAGAACAAGAGAAAATGCATGTCACGGTACCCGGCGCTGTCCACATGGGTGCGTTGGGAGCGGTTATGACCGTAGGTCCTTGCAGAGCACTCGGGGGTTCACACCGTAATGCTTTCCAAAGCAGTGGCAGCAGCACAGCCACGTTCTGCTAATACAGTTCTATGTCTCCAAATGTTGAAAGAGAAACAAGGAAAAAAATCTGAAATTGCTGATGTGAGTTTATTTTCATGTAAACAGACTCCGCAGTACATATCCACATACCCTTTTGAGGGACAAAAACACAAAACTGACCAATGACACCTGGACACATCTTAGCTTAGCTGGATGGCCAAGAAAGGCTTATACACCCTCCCGTACGAGGGCCGCACTGCTCTTCTGGGGTGACCTGAAGACGAGGGCAGAAGTGACCTTGCACAAATACGAGGGCCCATCAAGGCTCTGAGGCTTTCACACTGTCACTTGCTTTGGTCCTTACCTCAGGGGCAGGAGGTGGCCAGGGAAAGCAGTCTCCTTACCTCGCTGAGGAGGAAGCTGAACCTCAGGGTGGGCCCATGTCAGAGACCCAGAGAGTGGCCAAGCCTGACTGCACCCAGCTCTACATTCTTCCCCCTGGGCCGCCCCGCCTCCCTGGTCTTTTTATCAGAGTAGGGAGACCTCGACCTCCACACTTCACAGGGTGTCAAGTGTCAGTCTACCCGAGGAGGTATCATCGAGCTTTCTCCTTTGGGGGAGAGTGGAAGGCAGTGTGGAAACCATGTTTCAGTCACCTCTGTCCCTGTCAGTGCCTTGCACAGAGCCTGGCCCACAGAGTGCCCAGTGAACGGCTCCAGCTGGAATTCTCCAGAAGCTGACGGCTAAGAGGTCACAGCCTCCTGATCGGAGATCTGGGATCGGGCCAGAGGGCACGCTGCAGGGCAGAGAAGAGCACAGCAGGGAAGATCTGCAGCGGGGGATGCTCTGCTGGAACTCTGCATGGGCCCAGGAGTTAAACCCCGCAGGCGGCTCCCACCTGGGCTGAAGCTGCCTTAGCCACCAGGACATGTCCGCCGCCTTCCAGCTCCTGCTACACAGCCTGCTGCCGCTTTCCGGCCCTCAGCTTATGACGTGTCTGAGCAGCAACCTCCCTTCTTAAACCCTCTCCGACTGCTCCTCCAGCACCAGGCCTCTCGGCTTCTTACCGCCCCGGCTGCCCCTCTTCTGACAGCGTCTGCCCGACTCTGTCCTTGGCTGGCCCTGTCCACGCGATGCCTGAGTGTCCCCTTCACCACAAGCCCTCCCATCAGCTCTCGAGGCTTTCATTCTCACCAGGAGGCCGGAGACCCAGCTCTCTCCCTGGTCTGCAGATCCGGTATGTCCATCGCCCATTAAATACTCCCCTCCATGTCGCACAGGGAAGTGTCCCAAATGGGACTCCTTGTCTGCTCCCAGGAAAACTAAACTGCTCTTCTTCCCGTCTTCCTCACCTGGTGGCAACCATGTTTTCACCCGATGCTCAAGAAACCAGGGGAACCATCTTAGCCACTTCTTTCCTGACCCTTCGCATCCAATGAGTCCCCAAGTCCCGTCAATCCCACTTCTGCTTTCTCACTCCGTCTCCTGACGGCACGTGTCTTCATCTGCATCAGCTCCCACCGGCCTTCCTGACACTAGCCGTGACCCTCTCCATCCACCATGCCACCACAGAACCTTCTCGACTCCGGAAAAGCACCAATCTGATGATGCCATAATTTTCCTAATGCCCTTCATTGCCCTGGCTCCTGCCACTCTGCCCTTGCATGGCTCACGTTAGGACTACATACGAAGAAGTTCTCCTCAGAGCCGCCCCAGCTGGGGCTCCTCCTTGGGAATGTCTCTCAGCCTGGAAGGCACGCTCCCTTCTGCAGCTCCCTTCTGCAGAGCTGGTGAACGCTATGCGCCTTCCCTGCAAAGCCCAGACTTCCCAGGAGGGCGTTCCTGGAACCCACCTCAACAAGCCCTGCCCCCACGGGAGCCCCATCCTGCTACCTCTACTGTGTTGAACTGTGATTCGCTGCGGACCTGTCTGCCTTGCTAGCAGGGCAGGAGTTTGTTGAACAAAATAAATGATCATATATCATTGAATCTAAGTTTTTAAGTTTCACCATTAAAGTATCACTAAGGAAAAAACACTGCCAACTCAACCCCAATATGTCGTTGTGTAGAGGACACAACCCAAGCGCAGAGACCTTAACATGAAACGGTACGTGTGCTGTAAATCAAGGAACTACAGTGACGGCTCCTGGTGCGGGCAGAGGGTCTGTGACCACAAAAAGAGCAGTGTGAAAGGGGCTTGGATGGGGGCGGAAACCTCAAGCCAGGCGGGAGTGGAGAGAGGGCACGGGGCGCCTCAAGGCAAGCCAGGCAGCGGCGGTGCCCCTCACCTGTGATGTGAAGCTGGTGCAGTCTGTGATAGGCCAGGGCCGCGTCCCGGGCGCTGGCCTTAGCTTCGTCCTCAAAACCAGCCGCAGTGGCTGGGGTGGCCTGCCGGCGCTGGCACACCTTCTTGAGTAGCCAGCGCACCAGGCGCAGCTTCTGCAGGCTGTAGCGGATCACGTTCCAGGAGAGGCTGCAGGCCAGGTCCAGGCGGGAGGTGGGCAGTGCCCGGCCCAACACCGACAGGCAGGTTTGCAGGTTGGCAGCAGCAGCTGCAAAATCCCCCTAGAAAGCAGCAAGAAGGTGTAATGCTTTCTGGCCTTCCTGTGGGCTTTTTGTTTGTTTTTTAAAAAAACTTTTACTTTCCCTTCATTGTCCAGACTATCAGAGTAATACATGCTCCCTGAAGAAAATCTGGGAAAATTTGGAAAGCTACAATAAAAAAAGAAAGAAAGAGAAAAAAGAAATCACAGGTACTCTTATCCCCCAGAATGACCACTGACATTTTGATATATTTCCTCCCAGCTCTTTTACTAAATTGGGATTGTACTGGGTTTTACCTTCAAGCAAATATCCTTTGAAGTTTTCTACAGCAGCTTTTATACATAAGATGATAATGTGGATTTAGATGACACACTACGTGATCTTTTAGGTTCTCAAAGTGTGGTCCCTGGAGACCATGCATATTCCCCCCCACCCTCCCTGACCTAACCAGGACCTCTGGGGTTGGGGCCCCAAGGTCATTCCGATGCTTGCTGAAGTCTGAGAACCACAGTTTTGGGTAAACACATGGCTAAACTGCTCTAACCAGGGATCTGGATGAACTACGCTGCCAACGTGGGAGGGTCTGTGGAGAGTCGACGGCCCTGTATGGAAGCCCCCCACCCCCTTCTCTCTCTCTCTTCTCTCTGTTTCATTACTGGGAGCTCGAAGACTCAGGCTACACAGTCCTGAGAAATGGAAGTAAACGCTCCTCTCGCACACCATGCAGTGGGCATGAAACCTGTACTTGTCCTTCATCATTACAAGAAAGCGGATCATTACGAAAGGAAAGCCGATGACAACGCTACGAGAGTGACAGTCTCTACGGTGACAGCGGCATCTTTCCAGCCAGGAGAAGCACCTGTATTTAGATTCCAAAGGAGGGAGCCTTTCCTTGTGCCTCTGGCTCCTCTTCCCCAGCTTTCCCATGAAGGTTGGCTAGTCCCAAGGCTCAGGCTTTGGCCAGTGCCTCTTCCGACTCACCAATCCAACCCTCTCTGACCATGGTCCTGGCAGATGAGCAGTTTCCAATACACTCAGGTCCCGACCTGCCTCAGCGCCCACAGCTCGTCTCCTGGTTGCTTCTCACTCTATAGGGTCCTCTCACAGCGCTCCTAAACAACACAGCTTAGACAGCGCCCACCGCATCTTCAGCCTCTCCCATGCCTTTCCTCAATCCCAGATCCCTGCCACTCCTTGCCCCACCCCACTGCCTATTCTAAGAGCCTGCTACTCACTCCCGTGCATTTTGTGTCTGCCTCCTCCAATCCATCCTTCACACAGCTGCCAGGACGACAATCTAAACACAAACTGGATCCTGCATCTATACTCCAGGAGCCACAGCCCTGGGCATGGCGGGTGCATCCAGGTTGGTCAATCAGATCCCCAATGCAGGAGAGCAGGCCCATGGTTTTCTGCTGAGGGGTGTGCTGGTTCTTGTTCCTCCCAAGATGTGGATGGATGTTTAACTCTTCCTTCAGTGCTGTGAGTTGCCCTAGAATCCTTCCGTAAACTCTTTTGTTGATTTCAAAAGAAAGCATTCAGCTGATCTTCCTGCTCAAAATCCTTTCTCGTTCTCCACAGATGTGGGAAAAAAAGCCCCAAGTCAGTTACTTGGCAAGACCTCTCCAACTTGGGCCCTAGCTACATAACCAGCCTTTCTCCTCCTCTCTCCTTTACATTTTTGCACCCCAGACACACTCATCCACTTGCTGGTCCCCAAATCTCCTATCTATTCATGCCTTCCTTTCCACCTGGCAGGTCCCTTCTTACCCTGACTGTCCTCCTCAGGTCCCATGTCCCCTCAAGCCAAATCATCTCTTCTGCGCCAAACTCTCGTAGGACCTTACTCTTCCTCTGTCATCTTGTGTCCACAGAATTATTTACACACAGGTACCCCATTTCTGCTGTCCTGTGACTGTTAGGGGCAGGGTCCCTCCCCCGCAACCGCATACCACAAGCACCTCCCATAGGACTTTACTCGCTGGGGTATTCAACACAAATTGCTGAGTTATCACCTGAACCTGTGGGAGGAAGGGGAAAGGCAGATGGCAGAACTCACCCTGGCGAGGTCCAGGTCCGCCTGCTTCCGGTGCCTCCAGAAGGTGACAGAGGAACGCGAATGTGGCCGGATCACTGGCTCCCCATGGACCAGCAGCTTCACAAAGACGCTCAGGACAATCACACCATTCACCAGCCACAAGAGGAGCGTTGGCATCATCCAGTCAAACCAGCCCCCAGAACCTAAAGAGCAGCGTCCCAGCAAACCCGTGAGGAAGGGGCCCCTGGAGTGGCCCTGGGGACTGCAGGGCACCTGACTGACCCCTAACATTGTGATACGAAAGAGCCTTCTACCTCATTTTCAGAAGAAAGGGCGGATAACAAGATTGCTTCATTTATTAACAATGTCTAAGTGCTCAGGACAGGAATAATCCACACTACAGGAAAAACTGGGGCAATTCTAGGGCCTAAACCATAACCCTGTAGCTCTTGTCGCTACAGAGTTGAGTGCCACAACCACCTTTTGCTAGCCAAGGGAGTTAGGCCATTGGTTTCATGACTCAGGCAAAAGGACCACATCCTCCTTCAAATAGGTACAGCCCCCACCCCACATTCCTGGGGATTATGGCAGTGTGGATTCCCGATTTGTTTTGCTCCTTCTGACTGAACTCAAGTTTGCTCCGTTACTTCTAAACCGTGACTTACGCCAGTCCCTATCAGAAACAAGCAGGTGGGGGCTCCCTACCAAAACCGTCAGGACCTGGTGGACGAGCCGAGAGTCTGCACACAGGTCAGTCTACCCCACAGCAGCCTACCCACGCCGGGGTGACACGAGGGGGCCTCCACCCACCTGACTCAAGTGACAGTATGCTGCGGCCAGAGCCTGAGTATGGGTGCTGGTCAGAGTCGTGGGCCCCTCCCCACTGCAGCAGGGCAGTCAGGGGGTTGAAGGAGAGGCACAGGAAGGTGAGGAAACACAGCAGGATTCGCGAGCGGTCCACCATGCCCAGCGCTATGGGAGGAGAGTCCGGTTCATCCTTGACCTTCAAAACAGGGCCACGAAGTTAGAATGAGTGAATACCGCATGGGTTTTTACAGCATTTTATTTTTATACAGATCAGAACCAGATTGTGAGATTTAAATTTGAGACCATGAAGTCAGACAGGAGTAAAGTGAGCAGGGGACTAAGAAGTCTTCAATTCTCCAGCACTGGAGCACTCACCCCTGGCCACCTGGGAGAAGAGCATGTTCTAAAGACCAACGGTACATGCGCTGTGCTTTTAAAATAGAGCTCCATCACAAAAGAAAACACACTGCATGATTCCGTTTCTGTGTAATTCCACAACAGGCAAAACTAATCTAAGTGACAAACGAAGCAATAGTTGTCTGAGGCTGGAGAGGGGTATATGAACTACCTGCAAAAGTATACAAAGGAGCTTTATGAGTGACAGAAATGTTCTATATCTTGATTACACAGCCAGTTATGTAAGTGTATGAAGGATAATACTGAACGATACTATACAATAGGTATATTTATTTCACTGCACAGAAATTATACCTCAGTAGTGTCGATTAAAGACCGCACTTCAGTGTGGATCTAAGCACAGGAGTGTGCCTGTTCTAAAATCTTCTTTGTTGCCTTTTTTTCTCTCCCCGTTTTACGGAAGAAGAACTGGAGGCAGAGGCCTCACCCACCCAAGGAGTCCACAGTGAGGGAGGGAGGAAGCCTGGCACCAGATCTACCCCGACTGCCAATGTGTACATACCATTCCACTCCTTTTCGAAATTTTAAAACCATTTGAAAATTTCTTCTGATGTTCAAATATCCTGTCAATTCGATGTATATGTCATGTGGCCTTTTGTTATCAATTACATTTATAAAGTATTTCAAAATTACAGCTTCCTTAGTAAAACTGAGCACACATACTATGAAGTTTGATCAAAAATGTACACTAGAAGAAAACTTTGGGCTTTCAGAGTTAGAAAACGCCAACGTCAAAAAATGGCACAGACTCCGTGGTCTCCACAGGGCCCCCGGAAGATCACTGGGCTCGGTCCTCCTTTAACCAATTCCATTAAATGACAACCGCTGGAGGGGCTTTCTTAGACTATCAAAGGCCCTTGGTTGGAACGTTATTTGCTAGATTGCAAATTGGAATCATTTCTGGAAGAGGACCCAAAGGCAGTCTCGTCCTAAACCAGCAGATGAACCTCACAAAGTGGTCCTCCCAGGCCCATTACGGGAGAGGGAAGTAACAAGGTGCCTCCAGCAATGCCTGGCACGCACGGGACAGCTGCTGCGTGTTCCTGCTCTGAATCTGGCCCTCATTCCTCTCTGGTGGGCCCTTTCAGCAAAGACCCGTTAAACCGGACTGCACTGAACCAGTTAAGCTGACTCTAGGGGGGAACAGAAGGGCTGTTTCCCCTCACAGAGTCAGTTTTCTTTTTCTTTATTCTTCAGGACCTGGCTAATTACACAGAATTTCTGTTCCTTACCAGCCCAGGCCCTCTGAACACGGGGCCTGGCCCCTGTCTGCAGCCTACCTACCATCAGATTAGAGATGGGAGAGATCCAGGGGTTTTAAAAGCTCATACCTTTGCCTCATCCAACAGAGGACTTCCAGGCTCAGAGTCGATGGAGTAGGGGGAGAAGCCAGCCTGGGACCCTGAGTCAGAGGCCGGAGGGGACATCAGAAGGACATTCTGATTAAAGTCATCGATCTTCAGGTCCACATCATTGTCCACCAGGCTGCCTAGGTCGATGCCCTTCAGGAGCTCTGCAAAGAAAATTCCACCTGGCAAATGGCCTGTTTTTTACAGAGCCCCACCGGGGCCGGGAGAGAAGCACATGGCCCCAGCTCCTCCTTCACTCCAGGAGGCACCTTGTACGCATGTGTGGGCCCCCCCAAGTGCCCTGCACAGGATTTCGCCTATAACCACAAGGTCTGACAGCCCTCTTCTCAATGAGCACACTCACTGTTTTTCTGACTTGCCAGCTTCAGCACCATGTTCTCCTGGCGCAGTTTGTGATTGACCTGCTGTAAGTATTTGATGTAGTCGATGGCCTTCCTCAGAACACCAGACTTGTGCATCTGGAAAGACGGGTGAAAACACAGTGTCACGGGTGCAGGCTGCACAGTGAGGAGAGTAGTGGACCAGAGCGCGAGGAGTGAAAGCATGGCTCTGGAGCGGGAGGTGCTGGGTTCGGATGCTGGCTCTCCTGCTGATTAGCTGTGCTGCCAGGACAAGTCACTTGCTATCTCTGAACCTCTTTCCTCCTCAATGATATAAATCATAGGCTTGCAGTGAGGGCTAAGTGAGAGAACATATGTAAAGAGCTTAGCTCCTGGCATGGCACACAGTGACTTGAAAAATAAATTTAGCTACTATGACTACTTCCTATAATAATCCTAGCACCAAACAAACTTTAAGAAAAACAAATGACAAAAAACCGGGGCCCTGTTGGATTGTTATCTTAAGTAAAGGTATATTAGTACCTTTCAGATTTGTAGGCTACAAGGAGAGTGAAATTTCCTTTCAAAACAGGCGATGATAAACAGGTAACAGTTAAAAAAATTATGTGCCAGAAAACACATTCATTGAAACACCAGAAATATACAAAAAAATCAATTTCCCCTATTTATTGTTGAGTGGCAGGCGTTTCTCTGCCTGTGACTCTGGGGTCCATGATCACCGCATAGCAGGGTCAAAGGTCCAGGGAGACGACTGTCTTACTAAGCCCCAGCAGTCCCCTTATGTTGGTTAATATTTTGTAATCTTGAAAAATTCCAAGATGCTTTAACAAGAAAGCAGCTCTAACTCACTCTGGCATTCACTCAGCCTAGGCCTAGAGATTCTTACATTCCCAAGGCAAAGGCAGGTAGCGGAGAAATGGCAGGGCGTGAACTGCCATTCTGCTTAGCACCTACCTTGGCATCTGTCCCCATGACCAGGTCCTTCAATTCGATGATTTTGTCATTGATGGAGGAACGATACCGCTTCTCAATGATGTTGTGTGTCGTCCGTCGTTCTCCTTCTTTGGGTGGCTCGAGCTGCTTGACTCCCCCAGGTACCTGCTTAATGGGCACTTTCTCTTGCCCCATCATCACAGGCATCGTGGTCAAGATGGTCCCGCTGCTGCCCACCAGGGTCTAGAACAGACACAGGCAGAATTACCCCTTGGTTAGTCTGAATAAAGCGCTCTCACAAGACGAACCTGGGGCCTTGGCCATGTGGCATCACCTGGCAATGCTCTGGGTGGCTGGAGACCCTTTCTGGGTGAAGGTGCGCCCCAGGAAACCTGAGGAGCCACCGTACCTCAGTTCCTATGCCTCTTTCAGAATCACTACCCATTGCCTGGACTTCAATAGGATTAACGTGGAGAAATTTGTCTTAACCTTTGATCCAGGGGTCCAGAAACAAGTTACATGATTTCTGCTTTGCTGTCAAACCATCAACCAACCACCTCTGAGCTCGCATACAGCGCACCACGTCACTCTGGCCCCAAGGAAAACTTTTTCCTAATGTCTGACACATTTTTTCCTCTCATATGACAATTAAGCAACTTACTGCATTTCCTTAACAATTTGGCTATCAAAAAGCTCAAGGGCAGAAATGACACTCTCATCAGAGCCATTTTATTAAATAAATAGGCCAACCATAGAGGCTTCCCCACTTCTCCCATCAAATCTGCTTTCCCCTTTCTTTGTTTCTATTTTTACTAATTTTAGTTTTATTTTTTTTTTCAATAAATGGCCTCAAATATCCAAATGACCAAGAATAAAAAGCTGCTCAACTTCATTAGTTATCAAGAAATAATTCACACACAATGAAAAACACACACATCAAGTATACATCTTGATGAATTTTTATGTATGTACACAATGTGTGTCACTCAGATAAGCCAGACTCAGACACAGAGCATTTCTACTCCTTAGAAAGTTCCCTCGTGCCCCTCCCTCCCTTGTAATCTGCTCTGACCCCTCACCATAGCTTAGTTCTGCTCTTCTTGAACTTCTCCTAGATGGAATCATT